AAGCCAGGCACAGAAAAACAAATACCACATAACTTTACCCATATGTGGATTCTAAAAAAGTTGATCTCACTGAAGTTGAGAGTATCAGGGTCTGAAGAGAGTGAGGAAGAGGAAGAAATGAGCAGAGGCTTATTAATGGATATTAAGTTATAGTGACATAAGAGTAAAATCTTCTGGTTTTTACAGTAGAGTAACTATAGATAAAGTTAATATTCTGTATATTTCAAAATGTTAGGAAAAAATACTGAAATCTTTCCATCATAAAGAAAAAAGAATAAAGAAATAATGAATGATTGAGGAGATAGGTAGGTTCACCCATTTAAACATTATACAGTTTATGTGTGATAGTTAATTATGGTGTCAACTTGAATAAGAAATGCCTTATGGATTAGTTTAGCACAGCTCTGGGTCTGTCTGGCTGATGGACTTACTAAAGAGGAAAGATCCACCCTATGTGGATGGCACTAACCAATAGGCTTAAGTCTGTGTGGAATAAGAAAGGGAAAGAAGCAGGCAGTCTCTCTTTTATTTCTTCAGAAGAGCTCCAGTCTTTGCCATCACCTCTGAACATCCATTTCCAGGCTTCCAGTGCAGACTCATCAGCCTTCCAATGTAGAACTCACGCCACACTCTGCAGTGAGCTCCAGGCCTTCAACTTTTGACTGGATCTGCCGGCTCTCAACATGCAAAGGGCTCTTTTGTATTCTTCCACCCGGACTCTACAGGTGGCCATTGTAAGCCTAGTTTGTAAATCCATATACATGTATATATCCATCCATCCATATTCTGTTCCCCTAGTGAACCTTAATGAATACAGTATGTGTGTATTAAGACATCATATAGCATGCATGAATATATCCTTTTAGTTGTACTGTTGATGTCGCCCAAGTCCTTCACGCTAAGCTATATCCTCAGCCGTTGGTTTTTGTTGCTGTTTTGTCCTGTTTTGTTTTTTGACAGAGTATCACTAAGTTCCGCAGCCTGGGCTCAAACTTGCAATTCTCTTACCTCAGCCTCTTAGAGTGTGTACACATATCCTCTAGTCCAATCATAAATGTAGCCCTTATTCTCAATTGAATCCTCCTGAGGCTGGTATTTTGGTGTATGGGTGGAACAAAAAAATTTCTACAATTTAGATAAATTCAAGGTGTTTGATTTGCTGAAACAATTTGATTTTAAAAACTAGAGTTATATCTAATGACCCTTAAATGAGCTGCAGACTGAGCAAAGATGAGAAAAAGGAGTAAACTCCAACATCATCATATATTGAGAATCTTGGAAGGATTAGTAAAGTATATGTTGATTTACTCCTTTTTATCTTATGGTTTTTAATATAGTATAAGAATCCTTTAAAATTAAGTATAAAACTATCAAATGGCACAGCTTTTCTATTGCTAGACATTTACCTAAGAAATATGAAAGCATATGTTTTTAAAAGTCTTACACACAGACATTCATGGCAGCAATAATTACAAACCCAAAACTAGAAACAACACAGATGTCTATCATGAGAATAAATGGAACATATATTCATTCAATTGAACACTACTCCTCAATAAAATGAATGAGGTATTGATCAAATGCTACTGATAATCACTGCAGCAAAGATTAATCTCAAAAAAACATTAAATGCAAGGAGACAAAATGTTGCTTCCATATATAAAAAATTCTATAAAATGCAAACAGAACTATGGTGACAGAAAGTAATCAGTGGCTGACTAGAGACAAGTGGAGGAATGGAGAAGACAGAAGATATTATAAAAGAGCATAAGGAAATTTTGTAAGGACATGGATATGTGCATTATAATTGTGATTATATATATATATATCTCATGGTGTGTATGCCCTTTAGATATTTGCTAGCAGTGAGAACTGCAATCTACAAATTAAATTATGACTAAAAATAGCAAAGTAGTCAACTGCAAATGATGTGTGCCACATTTGGTCCCTCCTTTTAATTCCTTTTAAAATGTATCATAAAATAACATTATTGTTGTCATTCCAGAGATAAATGGACCTCCCCTTCCAATTAATAAGTAAATTGTCAAGACTGATGATACCACACTGTTATGATTTTTATAGTTATGATTTCTTCCTATTTTGATTTTGAGGCATCTCTCTTGTGAATGGTCATAAGCCAAGGCAATTTCTAGGAAAGTCCTGATCAAGGGAAAATTAAGATATGTAGTCAGATTAGACACAACAAAGAGAAGCCAAAATGCATGAAAAGAGAAATTTATTACTCACAAGACTCAGAGAGGTCAGGAGTGACAATGGGAAACACCCAAAAAGTTTAGAAGCAGTAGATGGGGAGCAAGAGAAAGAGAAGAATGTGGGATTTTCCTGAGGAAGACTTTACTAAGTCCTCCATCCTGCTATGCCTTAGGGATTTCCCTAGCAGGGTTCTGTGATGGACTGGCTAGTTCAAAGAAAACATATGTGAAGTGGGAAACTTACTTACATGACTCTGATGTTAACTAGTAAGTTTTACCATGGCAACAGTGGGTGTGTTGGGCTTTGGGCCAGTGAGGTGGGGATCAAAGGGGTCATATTACAAACAACTACATGTGAAGGGAAGGTTTAATGAGGCTAAACGTGACAGGGTATGACTGAGTTTCAAGTAAGTTATGTCAGGCCAATTAATATTGAAGTAGCCACTATTTTGAACAAATTTATAGCACATCAATAGATTATGAAAAACTTTATTGCAAACATAATGAGGCATTATGGCAAGAGTATAGCAAGCTTTCAAGCAGGTTCAAATTGATTTAAGAGAACAAGTTTAAGTGGATGGCTTTGGGTTTTATTGTGGTTAAGGAGTGAGTGTAGGGTAAGAGTTCCACAAGCTCTTGCTTGTGTCATTTGAACTTCACACCAACACCAAAGGAAAAGGTTTGAAGACTTTCCTATAAACTTGCTCAGATGTGAGACAATAAAGGAAACAAGAGAGGTGAGAGTTTAAAGGTCACTGATCAGCAAACATCAGTTTGAAGACTTAAATTTGCCAACAATCATTTAATTGGATTTAACATAAGTAAGTCATTATGGAATTCTATGTGGCCTGTACCCTGAGCCTGTTAAAGAAGGTAAAATTCTACTGAATTTTTGTTCCCAAGCCTAGTTTTATATTGTGTGAAGGGAAATGAATAATTTGATCACTTACAATAATGTCTGTAACTCTGAAGGGAAGCCCTGTACTATGGCCTCTTAGAGAGGCCTTGAATTGTGCCCTTAGACTGCATACATGCATTTACATGTGACTTTGATTTATAATTTATAATTGTGAATATCTGTGAAACAGGAAATTTCCCAGAATTCTTTATTCCAAAGAGACCAATGTTGGATAAAATTTTGCTGCTACCTTTAATCAGACTAACTGAGAGTATCGTTGGCAACTGTGCAGACTTCATAAATATGTGTATATGGAGCTAATTATTGCCTGAAAGATCTTCTGACTAAGATGCCTGCCTAAAGATCAGTCAATTCTTCTAATTCTTGAATTCGATCTCTCCCAAGCAATATTCAGGTTAACAGGATGAAAATCAGCAACTCTTCAGTGAGTTTCATGTGTGTGATTGTGGCATTACCATCTGTAGAACATATAAAATCCTTGCTCTTCATTAGTTGATCCAAGTGGCTCATGATGTAGCCAAGGTGTCCAGAATAAGGGTGACCTCTTGCAGCACAATGACATCTGGTTAGGTACCAAGGACAAGTGAGGGCATTCGTCTCCTTCATGCTCCATGTATTAACCTACCTTTAACTCACCCCTATAGGTCTTCCTCTAGGAATCCTTGGAGGACATGTCAACCTTGCCAAGGCATAATAGACAGCTGGGTATAGAAGTTCACAGGCTCAGAGTCTGTAACAATCTCTCTCCCAAAAGAGCTCCATCTATGTTCAGAAGTTTTCATTTTAATGGTGCATAGTGTCAAGCCTAGAAATAGAGTATTTTGCATCAGAAGCCATTATTAAGTAAGCCATGCAGCTTTCTATGTGGTCTGCTGCCTAAGGCTTGTAAGGGAGAGGGACCACTTGAGGGCACGATCCCCATTCAGAAGCTCCAGGAAACATGAGACAGGTTACTAAAGCCTTTTCCCTGAAAGAATGTCTGGTGGGCACTAATGAGAGTGCCTTTATATTGTATCTTATGGATTCTACAATTTTGTTATAGGAGAACCCATTCAAAATCCGTTTATTTCAAAGTGACAGGATAAATTGGCTTAAGCAAAGCTTGTAAAGAATACGTTTCCTCTAACCTCCCTCCAAAGGTGTAAAAGATGTTGGATTTATTTTCACACTGAGGTGCTAGGAGAACCAGTGACTCTTTTCGGTTGATATCAGAGATGCAGTGGCCCTCATCAGACAGAATGATGCCCAAATGTCACTGAGGTTATGAGGTTGTTCTTTCTGTGGGGCAGTGCCCATACCCTATCATGAGTGCCTTAGAATTCTTGCTTATAATTCTTTGAAAAAATAAGTGCAAGCCTGAAGAAAATTAGAGGTTTTTAAAAGTCAACATAGGCAATAATTGACTCATAAACTTTTTTTTCAAAATTGCAATCTCATTCTGATATACAGCTAAACAATTGCTATGCTTTGCCTGTCCTCTTCAAAACTCATGTTGAAATTTAATTGCTAATACAATTGTATATGGAGGTGATATCTAAAAGAGGTGATTGGATCATAAGGTCATAAAAGAGGCTATTATTTTTCCTTCATTTTTTTCATTTTCTTTCAAAATTTTCATTTACTTTTTTTCTTTTTCACTAGCCCTCTTTCCTTTATCACCAAACCTTTCTCTTCTTCATCCTTCCTGTTCAATTTCATATCTTCCTTTTTTTTCCTATCTCAATGTTTTATTTCTCCCTTTTATCCCTCACTCATTAGTTGCTGAGCAGTGGCTGAGTCACTCTGAGGTGTGAGGAAACTCTAATATAAACTGAGTCTGGTTGGTGAGAAGACAGAGAGTTCTACTTCTGAGCCAGCCAGAAGGAAAGATGCAGCAAGCTGAAGTCTCCACAGAAACGTCAAGCAAAGTAAGTCATGGTTTGCTCTTGAAATGTAGTCTCATGTATACTCTCACTAGTAAATAAACTTTGCTACCTAAGGCTGTGTTGTAGATACTGCAGGAATGCATGTGTGCATGCTTTACACAAAAGAAATGTTCCTGGTAATTTGTAAGTTGATTTTTAAGAAATAAGATCAAAATGTGAAAAATGTAGTACCACTTAAAGAAATAACTTAGTCAATCCTTCTGTAAAACACAATAAAATATTGTACAAAATTAAATCATTCTCCAAATACAGCCAGTTAGTAATATAGAAAAATCAATAGATAAATATCAAAGCTTGAGTTGTGTAGAGATGTGTAAAAATAAAATGCAATGAATGAATATAGGTTATAAGACACAGAAATTAAGTATGAATGTAGGATGAAATGTTCTTCATATTTTACTAGAATGAACTTTGACAAAAGAAGCAAAATTAATAGTGCTTCTTGTCCTATTTACAAGATAATAGTCACTATTTCTTATATTATTCACATAATTCATTCTTATATTCTGTTTTAAATAAGTGATTTATATTAGAAATTACAATGCAGAAGTTACACTCAGAAAAATGGAACCAAGCTCCTCAAATCAGTTGCCCAATAAAAAGAACCTTGTGACATTTAGAATACAGAGAAGAAATCCCTTAAGTGTACCATGAGGCCATACTCTTAAGTGAAATAAATAGGACACACGTGTAAATACCGAATAATATCACTTGTGAGAAACTGAAAGTGTAAATAAGGATGAAAATGATTAAAACGAATAATTGATAATTTGAAATGGGAAAAGGTCCAAAGGTGGAGGGGTGGCGGGAGGGGAAGGGGAAAGGGAAGAAAGGAAAGGAAATATTATGTGAAAGAAAAAAAAAGGAAACAAAGTCTATGTAAATAGGGAAGGGCACACAGGTAATGCGGGAAAAATAAGAACCAAGATACATCATGTTCACGTACAAACACCCAATGATAAATGTAAATATATTGTATACCTAAAATGTACCATTTAATATATAAATTTAAAAAGTTGTTTAAACAAAAACAGATGTCTCCCATTATAACAGTTTGCATTATTCATATACATATATATATATCATATCCATACATGTCTCCCTTGTAAAAGTTTGTATTATTCATATATGTGTATTATACATGTGATTGTTTTCAGTAAATGTAGTAGATTATGTGTACTTCAGAATAGTAAAAGCAGAACCAATCAGTACAGTAAATGTGAATTTAACTTTATGTCTCATCTGATTTTAATTTAATAAGAGTAAGCTCACTTCATCATTTCATTTTAAATGTATGTAGGTCATCACATGCTGGGCAGCCATTGCCTGGACAGCAAATGCCCCATTGTCCATTGAGAAGGTTGAAGTTGATCCACCAAAGCCTGGTGAAGTTCGAGTTCAGGTAAATATAAATGAGATTTTTAGTAAGTATTGCTGCAGACATGTGTTTAGAATGATTTTACAGTTTTAGGAGAACAAATGTCATATATAAAGATAATTGATATATAAAGATAATTAGACTTCCCATGGTTTACACCAGGTCTATATTGCCATACATAATATTTGATCATTGCATTTTATTAAAATGTCACAAAAATAAGATATGAAGCTACTTAAATTAAATATTTTAAATACACTATGGTTTTTAAAAATTTGAAAATCAACACAGGCTGTTGTTGACCCATAAACCTCTTTTTTCAATAGTTATTCTGGTGTGTGGCTATATAATTGTTATGGTGCAATTGTTCTCTCCAAACTCATGCTGAAGTTCAGTTGCCAATGCAATGGTGTAGGGAGATGATTGGGTTATGGGGTCACCACCTTCATAAAATGATTAAAGTTGTTATCATGGGAGTGGACTCTTCAAAAGGATAAATTCAGCATCCACTCTTCCTTTTGCACACACATGCTATGACACACAGGGAAGTCCTTGTCAGATGCCAGATGCGCTGTTCCTGGACTTCTTATCTTCCATAATGAGGAGCCAAATAAACTTCTGTAGTGTAAACATTACCCAGTCTGTGGTATTTTGTTATAGCAAAAGAAAATGGACTAAGAGGACAACAGAGCAGACTGCTCACAGTGAGAATGGTGAGAAGACTGAGCTCCTTAAACTCATCCAGCTCCCACCCCGAGTCTTCACTGCAGACACAGCAGATTTAGAAGACTGCAGCCGAGATCACTAATTTCTGTACCCCCAGTTCTCATTAGTAGGGAAGAAGTTCACACCATGAGGGCAAGATGAAAAGAACTCATTGTCTTCCCCAGGGGCTATAGTAGAATACCACTGACTATAGTAGAATACCATTGACATTTTGTTTAAAAACAAAATTCATTCTCACAGTTCTGGAGAATGAAAGCCTTCAACCTCAGAGTCACCAAATTTGGCTGTCTGCTTTACAATTTTTATAAGCAGAATAATTTACATCTATCCAATACATAGTACAGAAACTTGGCTGTCTGCTTTACCTGTTGACTATAGGTAAATAAATCATTTTTCATTCTCCCCTGAGTGCTCTTTCTTTGCTCTTTAGTATTGTTTTCAATTTCGTGCTCACTGGCAATAAATAAACCATTTTTAAACAGACTTTTCTGGAAAAGTATACTTCCTATTACCAGTAGTAAGATTTAAGTCTAGTTTTTACTCCTGGTCTTAGAATACTCTGTTTAGTTTCATTAAAAGTTATCAGGAGGGGCCGGGGATTTAGCTCAGTGGTTCCACTGCCTGCCTCGCAAGTGCAAGCTCTCAAGTTTGATCCCCAGTACCCCCCCAAAAAAAGTTATCAGAAGCAGCATTTAAGGGTTTTATTGTCTTCGACCTTATTCATGTTAGATATACAAGGTCAATATCCTTTCCTTAGTTAACTAAACAGTGATAAACTTCAGAACTTCTTTTTAAACAGGTAACTAATAGCCTAAACTGCAAAGTGGTAAATGTGCTCTGCAGCCATTAAAATGTTGAGGAGAAGAAGAATTTCTATATTACCAGCTGTCTTGTAACTGTCTCACACACAAAAAAAGCAGTGTTTCTTCCCACCTGTCTCCTATTCATCATGGCATTCATATCCTTCCTGGTATAAGATGTGTACTGCCCAATAACTTAGAAGAATTAACATCTAGCTGATAAAAACACATAAAATAGAATTCCCACTAGAAATAAATGATTCTATTTTCTCTACAATCAATATTTGGTATTATCAGGTATCTTATGACTAAAATTTACATTTTCCTGATGACTAAGGAGTCTGAGCATATTTCATAATCTAGTGGCCATTTGGATGTCCTTGGGTGTGAATTAGGTGATGGTCTCTTGTTAATATTTTCTAATTTGTCCATCTTTATCTTATTTATTTATAGTTTTAAAATATGGATATATACTAGATAATATAATATATAGACAGATATCTAGATTATATATTCCATATACATATGTGTTACAAATTTCTTCTTCTAGTCTGTAGCTTGACTTTTCACCTTCTTAATGGTTTATATATGAAGAGAATTTCATAATTTTATTGCAGCCCAATTCATGAGTACTTCTTTTTATATTTCAATTGAGAAATCATTGCTTGTCCCAAGTTCAGGATGATACTGTCCTTGTTTCTTGTCTAGAATATTAACTGATTTTTATTTTACATTTAGATTTACAGATTAAAATCATCCAGTAGCAACTTTTTCGTCTTTGTTGTACCCAACTCATTTTCTTCCTACTGTTTCAGAATTTAAGAGATCAGAGAGACCAACAGGTAGAACAGGAGGATTTATTTAGGTGTGCCCTGGCTCAGTGGACTCAAATACAAAGGCTGAGCCCAGGACAAAGGAAGACCTCTAGTTTTATACATAGTGCTGAAGGGGGATTGGTCTACCTAATGGTGCAAAACTTGTGGGTGGGCAAGCAAGTTTACAGAAGCAAAACAAACGCCAGTTTGCAACTTAGCACATCTTGGTAGCCTTGGAGGGGTGAAGAGAAACAGGCTTTTACAAAAACAGGATGTTGTGAAACTGTTACATATAGGAACAAAGTTGGCAGGACAAAGAACATCAGTCACAGGAAGGGGGAAGACTAAAGGGGAATTGCGTAGGTTGGGGAAACTTGTTTTTCCTTCTTTTTTAAAGTACTGCTTCACTACTTATATATTAAATTGATCTAGTCTTTGAAAAGCTGCATTTCACTCCTGTACTTCAGTGTCACTTTGTCGTAAATAAAATAGCTGATATGTCTGAGTCTGTTTCTTGATTTTAATTCTGTTCCATTGACCTATTTCTTTTATTCTTTGGAGTGGAAGACATTCATTTATTTATCTTTGCAATAAAACCAAATGCTGCTTTATAATAAGCCTTGATCTCTTACAGAATAAGTTCTGCAATGTGTTCTTCAAATATTTCTTAGTTACCCTTGACATTTTGCACTCTTGCCTTGACATGCCCCAGAATATTGTAATTCTTCACCACAAATTTTACCTGACTTTTCTTTAGACTAAGTATGGAATCGTCCTCACACTTCATTTTCAAAGGATTGCCACATTAGTTCATCAGACATGTTTTAATAAATATATAAAATAGAAGGTAAAATGCATAACTAAATAAGAAATTTTATATTTACTTTGTAGAATAGTATTCAGTTTAGTTGGTATGAGGTCTCTCAACTAGATCAACATCATGAACCTCTGGCAGGATTTCACTGAAATTTTATCACTACATTCAATCAGTTGATGCTCAGTTGGATTTATCCTATTGCTAGTCATCTGTTACATTGTACACAAATTGTTTACTTTTCTTTAGTGGAATCTTGAATTTGAAAAACCTTTGTCATAGTTGGAAGCTGAATTACTCATGTATAATTTCTTTTAAAAAATTTGTTTTTGCTTAAATTCTTTTATTGGTACATTTTAAGGTATACAATACCTTTACATTTATCACTGGGTGTTTGTACCTGAACATGATGTGCCTTGGTTCTTATTTTTTCCCCATTACCTGTGCACCCTTCACCCCCTCCACCCTTCCCTATTTACATAGGCTTTGTTTCCATTTTATCTTTTCTCATAATTTTTCCTTTCCCTTCTTTCCTTTCCCCTTCCCCTCCCACTTCCTCTACCCCCTTGGACCTTTTCTTCCTATTTCAAATTACCAATCATTCATTTTAATCATTTTAATCCTTATTTATACATTCAGTTTCTCACACTAGAGAAACTATTCAGTATTTACACACATGTGTCCTATTTATTTCACTTAAGAGTATGGCCTCAATATGCATCCATTTAGCTATAAATGTCTCTAGTTTCTCATTCTTTATGGCTGAGTAGTACTCCATTTTATTAAAAAACCACATCTTCTCATGTATAATTTCTAATTCATACTTAAATGATCTTTTCAGTTAAGTACTATCATTCCAAGTTTACAAATAGGGTGTTTGATTTTGAAATTTATTTCAAACCAGTTAATTGAGACTGCCAATGACTGAGTATTAGACCATCAGGGATATTTGAAATAGTTCATTGAAGTAGGAGAAAAATAGAACACAAATTTCATTCATCATACAGAAGAATAGGCTAAAACAATATGGAAAACAAAAAGGAATGTAGAGTAAGATTATTTATAGAGCAAGAATAACAAATTATTTTGCTTGGAGAACTAAATAGAGACTTGAATGGCAACAACTAGGACATAATTAGCCAGAGATTTCCTATAGTCAAAACCTAATGCAGAAAGACATGACCTTGCAGGAGAGCTAATTGTGTCCAAAACCTGAGAAAACAGACCAAGGAAACAGATAAATGTCTTCCACCTTCAAAGATCAAAAAAAGGAATAAATAAAATAATGCACCATTGAACTAGTTGATCAATCAGATTGGCAAAATTACCAGAGCTCCAAGGATCAATATCTGCTGACTAGGAAGAAAAACAGTAAAGAGAATATCTATGTGGAACTTATTAGTTAGTGCCTTACCAATAAAGATGGAAAGGACTTGCCACCAACTCTATTCACCTGTAGGGTCCCCTTACCCTAGAGGCCGGCTAACTGACCATTTGAACTGAAAATCAATTACAAGTTGGAAGGAAGAAAAAAATACACCATGGCAGAGTCTTCAAGGAAAAACCCTTGCACTCTCCTTTTTGGGCATGTCAAGAACTAACATGCTAGGACCAGGATCTGGAAGTTAACATGAAAAGCCTTGTGCTTTAGCCTCTGACTGGTAGGTAGAGGACAATGCAGGGAGAGAAGCATAAGAATGTTCTCTCCCAGGATTTCCTTCCACTTGAGTATACGTACTAAAATAGACCTCAGAGTTTGGGTTATCTGCTTTCTTTCTTTTTTGGTACCAGGGATCAAACTCAGGACCTTGACTTGTCAGGCAGGCACAGTGCCACTGAGCTAAGTCTCTGGCCCAAGTGTTCTTTGCTTTCTTGTATTCCACTGAACACATAACTCTTCTTGGCAAGGAACCAGATAATTAAGTCTCTAGGTTTATGATATAAAGGAGATCTAGGGACCAGGGATTTAGTTCAGTGGTTTCACCGCCTGCTGCGCAAGCTCAACTACCTGAGTTCAATCCCAAGTACCAAAAAAAAAAAAAAAAGGAGATCAAGAGAAAAATTATAAAGACAAGGACATACTAAGTGGTTTGGTCCTTTTTCTGAAACAGCTCTACCATATGGACACAAGTGATAGTGCCTCAAATGAATAACCCAAGTTTTAAAGAATATATTTTGCCTCTAGACCTTGAAATATTGCATTTTTCTGAAAGATTCAGTAATTTTATGACAAGATATTTTATATCCAGTCATTTAATCACCTTTCAGATTATATCCTCTGGGCTCTGTGGCACAGATAAGCACATCCTGGAAGGGAAAAGCAGAGTACCACTCCCTGCAATTTTGGGCCATGAGGGAGCTGGCATTGTAGAGAGTATTGGAGAAGGTGTAACCAGTGTACAACCAGGTAGGTAACTGAGCAAGATGTAGTGCGAATGCCTTTTCTAATTCACTGTTTGATTTTCCCCAAAGGTATCATAAAGGCAGCAAAATCATCAGATATTGAAAAAAGCATTACAATTCATTCACATACCAGACTTAGTGCAAAATATAGGCAGTCTAAGAGTCAGAATTTTCCAAATTTGTGTTTGGCTGAAAGGACTTAAAGAAAAAGAATAGTTTTTCTGTACAGACTACCAACCAAAAGTTGAACCAATAATTGCAAGTATATATAATGTATCATAATATTGGTAAATTAAAAATATGTATGATTAAGAGCTTTTTTCTATACACACATACACACACACACACACACACACACACACACGGGATAATCTTTTAAATTGACTGTGTCATTCATAATAATTTTCTCCAGAATTTCTGTTTGTTTTTCCACATTCATGCTTTACTTTATCTCACATTATTTGAATAAGAAACACAGTTTATAGATTCTTTTTGCCCACTTCAGCATGAGGAAAGAGAAGCTTTGGCAAAATTATCTTATTTAGTTGATTTAACTACTTAATGGCAGAGCTAGAATTAAGGACACAGGCTGCCTTATCTCAAATTCTAAACTCTTGCCCAGTAATAGACTATTTCATAATGAGTTTTAATTTTAGTGGTAACACTAGAGTATTAATTCATTCTTTCAACAAATATTAAGTATATAATAAGTGCAAACTACCTTTCTCCTGAGATAAAATGCTAATTAAAATACACAAGCTTTATACCACAAACATTGATTATCATTCTTAGAGTTAACCTTTCTTACCTTTGAACTTCAATGTTACTACAGACATAAATCTCAAAATTCTCATTGCCCTTTGTTCATTTGTATTAAAATTGATTTGTTTTCATTTCAAAATGAAGTGTTCATTAACTTCAAAACTAATGACAATTTTCATTACAACATGTTGATTGTATCTACTGCAATTTTCTGTCGATAAACATGGTGTTGATTCTGTAACGTCCTCACCCAAGCTGTTAACCACACACTTTTGTTCTCTTCCGTAGGAGATAAAGTTCTAATGTTCCCTGTTCCTGAATGCAGAGAATGTCGATTTTGCTTGCACCCCAAGGGTAACATGTGTTTGAAGGAAAAGTTAGTCTCAATTTCTTTCACTTCCTCTCACCCCATGTACTTTCACTGGCACAGGTATTGACTTTGAGCTAAAATCTTTTCTTTTTTTGTCTCTCTGTGTATCTGTGGAACAGAGTCCTCTCTCCAACTGGATTAATGTTAGATGGAACCAGCAGATTTACTTGCAGAGGAAGGAAGATTTATAATCTTTTTGGCATAAGCACATTCACTGAATATACCATAGTGCATGAGATTGCAGTGGGGAAAATCGATGCTGCTGCTCCTATGGATAGGGTGTGCATCATGAGCTGTGCAGTGCCTACAGGCTTCGGAGCTGTGTTTAACACTGCAAGGGTGAGAATACACTTCAGAATTGTGCGCAATGATTTTAGCTACATAATGCAAACCTGGGGTCATGCACTCAAAGAGCTAGTTACTACACTGTTAAAGCCAAAATGCCTTTTTTCTTTCCCTTTTAACACAGGAGCATCAGCTATGGATGCTTTGTAGAGTTTATTCTCTGAACTTTCAGGTCACCCCAGGTTCCACCTGTGTGGTTTTTGGACTTGGAGGAATTGGCTCAGCTGTTGTCATGGGCTGCAAAGCCTCTGGTGCTTCTAGGATCATCGGGGTTGACATCAATGAGAAGAAGTTTCCCCCGGCAAGAGCACTAGGAGTCACGGACACTCTCAACCCACGGAACCTCAAGAAACCTGTCCAGGAGGTGGTGAAGGAAATGACAGGCGGTGGTGTTGACTTTGCCTTTGAAGCTGTTGGACTCACTGATACCATGGTGTGTGGTCTCGGGGCACAGTGAGGGGTGCTGCCCGTCAACATATGGGTACACGTTAAATCAACTTCACAAAGACCTGAAATTACTCTAATTTTGTTTTGTGTTTTGTTTTGTTTGGGGAAGGTTGGAGAGGTTTTGTTTTATGTTGGGAATTAAACTCAGGACCTGGCATATGTAAGCACATTCTATCATTGAGTTAAACCCCTGTTTTTAGTACAATTACTAACATTACTTTTTTTTTGTACCAGGGATTGAACCCAGTACTTTGGGCTTGCAAGGCAGGCACTGTACCACTGAGCTAAAGCCCCAGCCCTACTATCATTACATTTAGTCTGAGCACATCTTATATGCCTCATATTGTGATGATACATTTTCATATTTTATCCCACTTAAATTTTGTGTCACCTTTACTAGTTAAGTAGTAATAGTATCCACATTTTAAAGATTAAAAATCTTAATCACATTGAATTTAAGAGTTTACTCAAGATCTCATGAGTGTACTGCATAATTTTCAATGCTATGGTATTTCTACCATATTGTTATCCCAAGAATATGTTTTAGGATTGTGAGTATGAAGATGTTGGGCTATTGAGAGGTTAATGTTCTACTTCTGGAATTAGGTTGCAGCTTTGGAATCATGCCACATGAGCTATGGAGTATGTGTGATTATTGGAGAACCACCCTCAAATTCACAGCTCTCCTTTGACCCAATGCTGATTCTCCCTGGGAGGACTCTGAAAGGTGGCATTTTGGGAGGTAGGTCTTTCATCTTTCTTTTTCCTTCCCCAGAAGCTCAGACACCCTGCCTGCTCCTTGGTAAGAAATGGAGGTGAGGGAAGGTAGGAAAAATAATTTTCTATGAAAGGAAATAGAAGATAGTATATCAAAAGCAGAATAGTGTGCATTTACCTGCCAACATAGATACTTATTACCTATAATAGCAAAAAGAAATTATGAGTTTAACATTGATAAGCTATCGGAGAGTCACATTTTATGGTATTTATTGGCACTTCGATATTCCCTAATTGGTAGAGAGTCATTATGTTTCTGGGAAAAAGATTAAAAGAACATCTCACTGTGTTGATCCATAATTTTCTCCTCATCAATCGCCCTAATTTGCTTTTTAAGAACAAAACATGTAACTCTGTGTTGAATGTCAGGCTTGTCTCTGTGTTTGAGGCTTGATCTCCAGGATGGTGCGATGGAACTGTAGGAGGTGAGACCTTTGAGGAGGTCCTCAGGTCACTGTGGACATGACTTCAGTAGGGATTGTGGTGAGACCTGGGTCTCTTCTTTCTCTGAGTTTGCTTCCTGGCTCATAATAAAAGCAGTTTTCTCCACCAAATGCTTCCACAATATGTGCCCTTGTTAGAGGCCCTTGTACATACAGTTGTGGATTGGAACCTCCAAAAATGCTAGTCAAAACAAAGCTTTTTCTCTTTGTATTAATTATCTCAGGTATTGTATAACAACGAGAGGTGAGTTGATATTTGTTACAAACGGTGCACGAGAGACTACCCTTTATGTGAGCAAAAGACTGGGTTTATTCTGTCTGCTGATAGGCTGAGATCATGAATGATTTCAGCAGCTAGTCAGGGAAGAAGCTACATTTTTATAGGGTTTGAGGATGGGGTTATAATCCTAAGGAATCTGGGTGAAATGCTTGGGGTCAAAGTTCCAAGAACAGCCACTGTAGGCGTTGCATGTAATACTGGGCTTCTTGGTGCCACGGAAATTGTATGTCCTGTCCTTAATTTTCTTTATGGCCATCTGTTCTGTTTACTGAGGGCAGCATGGCCCTTCAGTGGTCTCCTGTTGTTTATTGAGGGCTGCATGCTTGCTCAGAAGGTCTTATTAGCATCAGGCATGTCAATATTTATTAAGCAACATAAAATGTTTGTAGTCAGGGCTCTGATAAAGAGTACCAGCTATCTCTTTATAAAAGAGCTCAACTTTTCTTTGGAGCAAAGTCTTAATTAATATTTTGTTATGGCCCTAAATAAAACTTTAAATATCTATTTTTAAGACTTTGTTTAGAATATAAAGATCTAGGTTCAGCTTTGCCACTGTCTAGATGTCCACTGTTATCTTAAAATATACATGAGATTTGCTTTAACCAAGTGTAGAAGATGATATACACATAGACAACTGTCTCGAAAGAACATCTGCCTACAGTTCCCAAGAGCCATGGGCATTCCAACCCACACAAGGCCATACAGTGATGCACCAGGGTCCAAGAGGAGGAATAAGAAATGAAGTGGATGTTAGGGACCAGAACTTTATTATAGTTTTTAAAGGAAAGAACAGACAACACAGGGGAGGCAAGCAAGTTTAGACTTAAACAACTTGAATAATTTTGATGGATGGTCCTAGTTATCTGTTAACTGGCCCCGAGGTACTTTAGGGATAAGGATATTGTCTCCACTGTCTGATAACAGGAGGAGAGCATAGAGGAAATGGGGTTTTGTTCTTGATCTTGGTTTATTTATGTATCAAAAGTGTGCTCCTAGACAAGTTCTCTGGTCTCTCTAGGAATTCCCTAATCTTGGAAGGCAGAGACCCTCCTTGGATCCCCAGGGACGTAAAATGCAAAAGCATTATAAAATCTAGAAAATAGAAAATGTAATCAAAGCAGTCAATGAAAAATATTCATACTCTCTAAACTTTAGTCCTCTCAAAGTTATAAAAACAGAAAAAGTAACCTATGTATCTGCCTTAAGCCTGATGATCAAATAATAGATAGGACCTAGGACCTAGGACCTAGGCATGGTGCTCTATGGCAGCACTCTTCAAAGCACGACTACCGATTGGATATATCTCTGGGATTAAAATGTGAGTTCTGTGAAGTAGATGTATTGGAACTTCTTGTGGAGGGAGACCGGTAACTCCAGTCCATCCAGCTGGAAGGTAAGCTGCTAAGGGCGTGGTAGTGGCCTGCAGACAAAGAAGAGCTGTGGGTTCATGCACTGTGGTCAGCACAGCATGCTCCACAGTCCACAGGGCTCACCTAGGTAGGACTCCTCTAGAACACGCGGGCCACCTATTAATTGAGCAGTACCTGGATTCTCCTATGGAGTAAATTACCTTCCTTTTTATGCTTAGGACAAGGATGAAAGATGAGCAGTTGACTATCTGCTAACAATGCTTTTATAATCTTTATACACAAATAGTTCATTGAATTCTTTGGTCAGTTTTGATAGTTTTTATGTCATGTTACTTTTTCCTTTCCTTCTACAGAGTATAAAACGAGATCCTCTATTCCTAAACTGGTAATAGATTATATGCAAAAAAAATTTAACATAGACCCACTTATAACCCATCAGTTGCCTTTTCAAAAAATTAACAAGGCATTTGAATTGCTCCATGGCGGACACTGGTAAGTACCGTGTGTGAGTGGTGTGTGTGTGTGTGTGTGTGTGTGTGTATGTGCGTGCGTGTGTGAGTGTGTGTAAGATGTGCCAGTGTGAGGTATTTTACACATCTGACTTTATCAAAAATTTTATGAAAAATTTACTATTTCACATTTCAGACATATTTCTATGCAGAAAATAGTCATTAAACATTAAACTGTATGACAAAACTTTGTGCTAGGCCCACAAGCAAAATAGAGCTAAGTATAATGCTGTCTTCAGGTTGTGGATGATTTGGTCTTGGAGTGCAAGATACTATATCCTGTATATGAACAACTTAAATATGAGGCTGAATATTATGTCTGGTCAGAAAATCCAAGAATCAAGAGACCTAATTTCTTACTGAATAGAGTGAGGGGGGTACTCAGAGAGAAGGTGACCACTGGGGTGAGTCCGGGGAGCTTCTAGATCTGTAACATGAAGATTCTGGGTGTAAAGCACTGTAGAAATTGGGACTATGTACAAGAACCAGTTACATCAGGCAGAAGCCTGGGAGGCTAGGAGACCCTCTGCTTCCCTGGCTTGACCCTCTCACCCTGGCAGGAATGCAAGAGGTGAGGTAATGCTGACTCTAAACTGAAGATCCTCCAGGCATGAAATGAGGAACTCCAAAAAAAGAAAGAAAGTGAAGCAGAGGTTTAATTATCATAATCCAAAAGCAGGGACTGCCAAACAGCAAGCAAGCTGAGCTTCTCAGCCTGGTGTCTTTGCCTTATACATACTTACAGGGATAAGCTGATTTCTAAAAACTATTTTACTGATTGGTATAATCTTGGCCAATCAGGGTCTTAGCTTTTGTTTCTGGGCTAAGGTTTACATGGTCTGGCATGTAGCAAATGCATCCACAGTTCTCACAGAGGACAACCTCCATTGTAAGTGTGTGGTCATCTCTTCCACGTCAGCCTCCCAGGTCATGCCCTATACTGCCTACTTCCCCCGGTCTGTCCCTACAAGCCCATAGGAGAAAGAACAAAATGTGAATGTAGTAAAAAGCAAACAGTCCAGATTGCAAGGAACAGATTGTGTTAGTCTTTGGTTGCAAAATATTTCTTGTGTCAATAAGTAAAAGTTCAAGAACTTTGACTTCCAAAGAGAGCTAGGATTCTCTAGGAGGTTATCCTGCCTTTCCTAAGCCCAACTATGTGATATTGCTATGAAATCCTACTTTAAAGTGATGAGTATAAATCAATAATAGTTTAGGTTGAAATTATTAATTCTATTGAATAGACTGACTGAAATTAACTTAGAGCCAAAGGATCTGAAAAACACAAATGTTGCATTGTTTGATCCTGAAGCCAGTTGCCAGCTGTCAGACCTGTTCTTCTTTTATGTATATTGAGATCAGAGAAAACAAGACTAGGTTTTATAGGATCTATAACAATGTGACAAAGTAGATTTATAGACTTTTGAAACTGACTCTCCTTTAAAGAAATCTTTAGCTAAACATTCTGCTACCATACTCATACCAGATTAATCCAATGCTTCTTACATACACAATAATGTATATGAGAAAACCTAAACTAAAATTTAGACACCACATAGATTTTCATGAAGATTCAATTTAACATTCACAAAAAGAAATTTAAATCAAACAATAGGAATAAATAAAAAGACACGTAATTTTTTGAGAAACTGAGATAGTCATTAGTGCTATGGAGAATATGCTTTTGTTTATGGGGTGGCCACTTTTACAGAGTTAACACATGAAAAGAACATAAAAGCTCCCATTTTTGCTCTTCACATTAACAATGACTAACACTGTGATTACAGATAAACCCTGGCCATTAATTTTAAACTCTGAAACCTAATCCAGAACTTTCTCCTGGAACAAGGTAGTTCACCAGCTTGTCATAAATGCCTCAAGCAATTTACATTACTGAAGTGAATTATCAGCCAGTGTTACTTCTCTTTAAATTTTGTTAGAATTGCCTTGATAATTAAGCATTATTGAGAAACATTAGACTTTGGCACAGATGAAAAAAATTAACATTTTTTAAACATGGCAGTGTGTGTTTGGTAACAGGATAAAATGCAGTAGGAGGACCTCAATGAACTTTTCTGAGGAAAGAAAGCAAACCAGACCTCTGGAGCCATATAGAAACTCCTGGTCTACAAAAGCATTAGTAGACTTCAATCCCACTAACGGAAAGCACTCATAGAACCCTCTGTGCTAAGGGACCCTGAGAACTTAGATTTTTATAGGTTATGAGCAGATGAAAGCTCTGAAGCCATTTGATATCTCTTTCATTTATGGAAAAGAAAATTAAGACCCAAAGAATTACAAGCCATTTTCCAAGATCACACAGTTACCAGCTGAGCAGATTCTTCCAGATTCTCACTATTCCTTTGTTTTTGTGAATCTTCCATGTTATTCTCATATTTCATCATTTTACCTCTTGCACTCAACCCCTCAGTCACATTATGTGACTTCTTTCACTCCTTCCCATCCTGCTCCTAAGGATAATGGAGGCTCATGACCCTGTACCTTCACATTTGTAATCCCTCATGCTGGGATATAGCCCACCCATACCCACCTAGCCAAACTCTGTGGCTCTTTAACTCCTAGACATCCTCCAACTCTGGGCGTAGTGAGGTCCTCAAGATCCCTGGTTGCGCTCATTCCATCCTTACTTTCTCTATGCTAACATGTAAGATGCTGCATTATAATCACAATTAGTGATTTGTCAGATGAAATTCTTGAATGTCACTTTTTTTTTGGTACCTGAGATTGAACTCAGGACCTTTGTTTTCAAGGTAGGCAGTGATAACACTGAGCTAAATCCCTGGCCCTGTCACATTTTTAATTATAACCCCATCGGCAAGTACAATGCCTCAAACATGGAAGTTGCTCAGTAAAGAAAAATTCTGTTTAAATGAATCATTATATAATATCAGTTAATGAACAAATTCCCTAATGCAAATACCTTAGAACAGTGGATTTAGAATACTATACACATCTAGGGAGCTTTCCAGTATTCAGTGTATATTATTCTTCCTAATAGAGAACAGTTTGACAGCTATTAAAAGTAAGGGCATATGCAGAACTTAGAAACTAGAGAGGGCCTGTGGGACTCTTCTCCCACCAGACTAGCAAGCAGTCAGCTGGAGTGATCAGAAGTCAGAGCTGAAAGAACCCTACAACTTTGGATCACAAGGAGATAACAGCTCATGGATCCTCTTGCTTTAGTTTCTTTGCTACTTACTCACTGCTAAAAGAAGATCCTATAATTGCCAGTTACCCACTGGACATGATTCCAGAGACATTTTCTGGTGTCTGTGGGGGAAAGGAGAATGTAGAGATGTTAAATAAACATGGGTAGACAAGTCTGTCTCTTAAAATACATATGCTGTAATTATTTTGTATGAGTTGTATTTGGCAGGAAAGTTAATGGCTTCAATATTTGCATCTTTTTGTGTTTCAGCATCCGCTGTGTCCTCTTGTTTTGAGATCCAGATCATGAAGATTGAAAAATGAACATCTCTTACAATGATTCTTCAGTCTTCTTTGTCCCCTGGGTAACCTAGTTGCAATACATAGAGGCCAGGATAAGAAAGAAGGGATTTCAAGAATTTTAAGAAGTAAAACTATTACAATAAAATTAACTATTTTGGAACATGTTTATATTTTGGCCTAAATCTTGAGGAGAAGAAACAAGAATTGGTTACTTATAAAAATGGCTTTGAATCTACACCAAAGATCTCATTTTTGGGGGGAGGTGGTACTGTGGACTGAATCCAGGTGTTTTTTAATTGAGCTACATCCTCAGATTTTTTTAAGTTTTAATTTTGAGACGGGTTCTTGCTAAGTCACTTAGTTGCCAGCCCAGGCTCAGACTGAGAATCCTGCTGCTTCAGCCTGCATGCTAGGATTACAAGTGTGGACCACCATGTTCATCACAATCTCACTTTAAATTGGTTTTATTTTGGAAAGGTCTCAATTTGGCTTATGTTTTTAAAAAACTTATTTAGACTATAGAATGCTTCTCCACCACCCCATATGTATCTGAGTTGAGTTGTTTCAGAAATAACTTCACTGATGTCTCCCTTCTTGAATGCAAGCTAGACATAAAATGGGCCAAGCTTTCCTATTTGGATTGGTGGGAAGAGTAACTGCTGACCAGTCTTCTCAAGTGGTGTAACAGCTTGACCTGCACTCTTCAGTAAGCCTTATGTAAACAATAATGCATCTTTTCTATTGTCCCTTAATATGCTGTTCCATCTTCAGTGGGCCTGCAGTCATGGAGTAGACTTGAGAAAAGGCCCAGCTGCCTGCCACACACGTCCCTCTGATTCACAGACTTGTGGCTCTGCAAGATGAAGGGAAATATCCAGCCCAGTGGGAGGAGCACTTGCAAGGCTGCTCCTGCCCTCCCCAGATAGCAGCAGGCTCAGCAATTTCCTTCTGCCCCTGGGACCAAAGTGGTTCCCTCACAGGGCCTGACACCTATTGCCACCATGAGGCCCGTAGATAGCAAAATTAACAGGTGTTTTCCTTCTGTGATGTCAGTGTTTCCAGATAAGCCATTACTTTTATCACACTGTGGACAGACTCTGTCCTAAGCTGTCGTCCCCCAGTGCATGGGTGACTGTCACTTACCAAATACTGACTCCTTGACTTCGTGAGCCTGAGCTCATAGGCTGCTGACTCTGTCTGCTCTGTCAGTCATCAGGACATAGGTGCCAGGGCTGCAGGGAAAGGGCACACCCTTCCCTGGGAACCCTCAAGGCTCTTGTCAGATGTGGATATATAGAAAAATATGGAGAAATGTCCACCGTGACCTTGAGGATCACAACATTTTGTTTTCCTACGTGCCTGTTTGCCAAGTTTTATACTTTTATGATCAGAATAAAATATACATAAAACACTTTCCCCCTAATTGTCCTTCCTCCTTTCATTATACCTTCCCCTGCCTCTGCCATCCACATTTCTGCTCCTTGCCCCTTCCCTTGGATATTCCTGTAACCTATGCCCTCAATTCTAATTCCTTGATCTCTTCAGTATGGGATTGCTTTTGCCTTTGGATCACCAGTTTTAAAAGTCAGGCTGGCCAGGGATGTAGCTCAGTGACACTGAGCCTGCCTTGCAAGCACAAGGTCCTGAGTTTGATCCCCAGTACCAGGGAAAACAAAGTCAGGTGAAGCAGTCATTTCTTTGGTAACTTGTAATGTCTATTGCTACAGATCTTGAAACAATAGCAGTCTGTGGTTTAATTGCACTCACTGAGCCCTCCCCCATTGCATGCATTCACTGGATACCTACGGAGCGTCCAACCTGGGCTCCAAGCTATCCACAGCTTCTGTTCCCAACACCTGCTAGAGACAGTGGGCCACCACACAACAGGGACCGGGAGGGAGCATAGGCTCTGTCCCCACATGCACGGAACCCAGACATGGTTACTCAGTTACTTCTCAGCACACACACATATGCACATGTGCACACACACACACCAGTCCGCTCCATTATTATTCACATAATATTGTCATTAAGCTCACTTCTGAACTTACTAAAATATATTGATTTGAAAAATGAAATAGTTAATTGCCTGGTCATAAATGGGAAATCAGTTCCACCTCCAAAAGTGAAAACAAATGCAAGGAACAGTAAGTGGGGTGATCAGAATGTACTGTGTCCCATTTCCTCATTATTAAGGGGGAGATGAACTTAAACAAGGGATACTAAAGCCTTAATGCCATGAGTTGAGAGCCAGAGTGATGAAGGCTCTCAAGGGGATTTTCAAAATGCTCTTCTTGTATGGCTCAGGATTATTTAATGTCTTGGCTGGCTGCTGTGTAAAATCACTTTGCATTCAACCTAAAATAGCTTCATGGATCAGAGCAGTGCTCATCTGTGACAGCCAAGGGAGGGCCTGGTGGAGGATAAACTGCAAGACTTTCATGAAAGGGCAGTCATGGGAAACACTCAAGGGGACATGGAAGGGGCAGTGAGGCACCGGCAGACAGGCAAGGGAGAGAAGCCTGGGATGAGAAGCAGAAAGCTAACTGCCACTGGGTCTGTTGGAACTCCTGGGCAAAAGCTGCCCAGGAGGCACTAGAGTCATGAGAGATACAGCCAGTGCCAGAAAAGCAGCAGAAAGTGAGAAGGGGGAAAGATCCTGACTCTTCTCCTTCCTTCCTTCTCCTCTACCTCTGATTGGCTGCCCTAAGCAGAAGCCAAATGACAAGTAAGCTTGGGAGATGCAGTCCACAGGGTCATCTTCTTGGGGCATAGAGCAAGGCCCAAGGGTCTGGACAGGTGAGAGAGTAGAACAAGTCCACACAACCTCCCTGACACCATTGTCCCAGGTCTCACAAGAGACACATAACCAGACCAGCCTGAAGCCTAAGTGGGAGGCAAGGATGGAGGGAATTCTGGGAAAGGCAAGCATGGCAAGGCTTAGAGGTGTTAGTGTTAAGGTACGGGTTAGGGTTAGGCTAGGGTTTTCAGTTATTTATGTTATCCACGTAAGATAGGACAATTGAGTAGTACAGTAAATCTCTACTCAACATTTGGACATTTCACACACGAGGCTGAACCATGTGTAAGGGTTCCAGCTTCTCCCCATCCTTACCAAAGCTTGTTATCTTAAATTACTTTATGAGTGCACTCACAAGAATGAAGTGGGATCTCACTATGGTTTTACTTTGCATTTCCTTAATGGCAGAGATTTTAAGCATTTGACCCTGTGTTTACAGGATGGGGTGGAGGGAGTCTTTTCACATCCAGCATTGTGGTATTTCTCTCAGTTGTCTGGTGTCAGTGCCAACATTACTGAGGTGATGCCCAAGGGCTATTCAGATAACAGATGAAACTTCCCATTCAGCCTTTGGGTTTTCTCATTCCTTAAGTCTGTGCCAGCAGGGTCTGCTCACAGCACTCCTTGCTCTTCTCTAGGGCACAAGTACATCAACAGTTCCTCATCCTGAGCAGCTGCTGCATTTCAATGAAGCCCATCTTTCAAAAATCTGTGTTGAGTTCTATCTTCACAAGCTAGGGTTCACTGCATTCTGCTGTGTGGAAGGAGGCAGACCAAAGAGGGAGGGACAGGCTTGTGACTGGACTCCACATCCTCCTATTTCCCTGTGGTGACCCAGACATGAATTCTGTGCCCCAGGGTCTCTCAGGCAAGTTGTGGTCTCTGTGGTTCAACCCTACCTCTATTCCCACTCTCACCATGGGGAGCCACATATAGCCATAGATATACAAACATACACAAATATATACATACACATATACACATATCCCAATATATACATATATGCACATATGCAAACATAAATGTGCATATACGCACATACACACATAAACATGTATACACACATATACCCGTACACACATATACATACACATGTGTATACACATATACACACATATATACATGTACACATATAGACATAAACATATAGTCATATAGACAAATACACATACATATTCATGCAGGCATACATATACACACATGTAGATATGCAAACACATATATGCATTCATATACATGCACATGTACGCATGTGTGCACATATCTACACATGTGCGTAAGCATGAGTATACGCATATATGTGTGAACTAGTGCAGATGAGCATATCTGAAATAATAAGGTGAATGTCACTACAGGAGCAAACAATCACGAAGTTTCATGGGAGTCTTGGTGTTCTGAGAGATGGACCATGGTGACAGGCAATCATGGCCTCTGAAGATGTCCACACCCTGGTCCCCAGGGCTTGTGCATCTGTTACCTTGCACAATAGGAACTTTTCAGTGCAGTAAAGTTAAGGATCTTCAAATGGAAAGATTATGCTGGACCATCTGAGGAGCGCCATGGGAGAGGGAGAGAGGGAGGTCAGAACCAGAGGGACTCGAGGAAGGAAGCTGAGGCTGTAGTGATGCTGCTGCTGTGTGGGGCCATGTGACCAGGAAGGTGCTGCCTGTCTGGGCTGGGAAAGGAAGGAGCAGATCCTCCACAGAAGGAGCACAGCCCTGTTGACACCTTGACTGTGAGTCTCTTATCACACCCATAGGAAACCCCACCTGGTGCTGCTGGACATTTGCAGTTGTCCATCTGGAAGCCACGTGTAGACCTCTCCTTCTGCAGGGTCCTTCGATCCACTGCTTTGCAGTGGTCAGCCACATGGTACACCCTGTCACTGCTCACACATCTGTGGCTGCTGCAGGGAAGTCAAGGTAAGCACATTTGGGGCATTTCTGGGCCTCCCTCTGGGTGTCAGCAACAACTCAATAGAGGCTCAGCTGGGCAGGTAGTACCATCTTAAGGGGCTGGCATGCCCCTGAAACCTGGCTGGCTTCCGGGGCAAGTTTCCCAGTTCAGATCTGATGAGAGGTCCACAGCCTTGGGAAGGCCATTCACTCACTCATTCATTTCCTTGGACAAATACTTCTTGCACTCTTATGTGCTCATTGTGGTATGTACTGGGGATGTGATGGCAAAAAGTAATGTCATTTCTGATCTCTTGGCTTGACAGTACACTGGTAAAACATATGTAAATGCACTCAAGCACTGCCCCTGATCATTCTCCTAAACATTGGTCAATGTGCGTATGTTGCTGTGAAGGAAGTTCTGTCAGACTGGATCAATGTGGGTTGGCTGGGATCTGGAACGTCTGCTATGCCCAATTTTGTGCACCCAGTCCAGCCTTTGTCCACAGCGAGCTCAACTGCCTTGGTCAACAGCCATCTTTGTCCTCCAATGGATTACTTCATACACAGATTGAGGAGATCCAGAAGCTGCTCAGCAAAGATCTGGCAAAGCTCAACAACAAGATGTGGCTGGTGCAGCATAACACAGTGAATTCCCCAAATGAGCAATGCAAGCAAATGTTCATGGCCTCCTACATCCTGGCCATGGATGCCAAGGACCTGCTGGATGCTGTGCACCAGCCCAAAGTTCTGGCCAATCTGGTACACCCACCAGCAGAGGGACCAAGGGTGGGAGCCACCTGCCTGAATCTCTGCCCCCATTTGTCCTGCACCTCCCCTGCCATGTATTTGGTGGTGTGGTCTTCTTGGGGAAGACAGGAGTGGAGGGCCAGAGAGAAGCTTTATTCAGGGGTCAGCTTGCTGGTGAATGAGGGATGGGCCTGGCTTTCTTATACAGTATATACTGGAATATATTTAATGTGTTTGGTCTGGACTAACAGCTGTCTCCAGGTGGGTCTGGGACACAGTCCACAACCAAGCTAATTAGGAGCAAGGGCACAGAATGCTAGGCTGTTACCAAAGGAAGTGTCAGGGGGAGAAAGAAGCCAAAACAGGACTCTGAACCACAATCTTTCTCTTTGCCTATCCCCTTTCTTACTCCTGCTTCTCTCTTCCCCTTTCCCACCTGCCCCTTTTCTTTCTCATGTTCGTAAAGAACAGTCTTATAACTTCTTGATTTGTGGTTGAATTAAAATTGTACCATTTGCTTGGTGGTTTGCCTGTGTTGTTTGATCTGCTGATCTTGCACCACCATAACCTTGGAAGAAATTAATTTGTGTTTATCTTGAGTACAGATCGAGTATCACTGACCTAAACCTCAGCCAAGGACAGCATGCAGTAACACTTGGTAGTGGGGTCACATGTGCTGCAGCCCTTTGCCCTGACGTGGGCAGTAGTCACCTGACCTAAGGGTAGCTTTCAAGCAGGAGCCAGGGTGGTCCCCGCCATGAACTTTCTCCTTCAGGTGCCCTCCAAAGCCCCTGGGCTCTGCAGGGAACTGTGTGATGCTGATCCCACTGAGATATGGATGGCAAGGACGAGGTGCACCATTGCCCAGCCAGTACACTCGGCTTTATTTAGTTGCTTTACTCGCATGCAAAATGGACAGGAGACGTAAACAACAGGGCGAGTATCTACAAGCCAGATCATATCCAGTGCCTGTACAAGAGCAGAGATGGCAGAAGAGGGGAGGCCAGGGGCTACATTCACAGGGATGGGGAGGAGCCTGAGGAGGATGCCTGGGCCACAGTCATGGTACCCAGTTTCTCCCATCTTGCCAGGGAGAGGTTGGGGGGGGTCAGAAGGAGTGAACCTCCAGACTACAGGGAACTGGAAAGTCCCCCCCCCTACTCTGCTTCTTGCCTGGGGTCTTGCAGTGTCTGGAGAGGTCAGTGCCCACCTCTGTTAGCTGCTGAGGTCTGGAGTCCTGCAGAATATTCTACACCATGCTGCCAGAGCAGGCTGCAGGGCCCAGTTCAGAGCCCTCTGGACACAGCAGTGCAGGCCTGGAGGGAACCTTCCTGAGGCTTTGACGTTACCCAGGTTCCTAAGCCATTCAGCTTGCTGCCCTGACCTTGTGGACCACACTTCCCAAGGGCTGATTCCACCTTCCTGACCCTGTGCTATGTGCTGGGGAGGGGAGACAAAGAAAAGGTGTTGGCTCTGCCCTGGAGGAGTTCAGACTGAAAGAGCTTGGAGCATGAACACCAGGGACCAGACCCTGTGGAGGGATGGGTGCCCTGCCCAAAAAGCTGGGGTTTTCTGTTTCTTTTGATTTTTGCAGTACTGAGGATTGAACCCAGGGAGCAATGACTATATCTCCAGCTCTTTCTAATTTTTATTTTGAGACCAGCTCTCACATAAGTTTACCAGGCTGGTCTCAGACTTGTGATCCTCCTGCCTTGGACTCCCAGAGGGCTGGGATTACAGGTACACATCACCATACCCAGCTCATGCTACAAGTTTGAGTTGGGTCAAGAATGACTCAGGATTGCTTGCTTGATTTGTCCACTGCATGGTTCCGTTTAAGGGTGCCCCACAGGCAGTGCCGCAGCTCTGTTGCCTGTTGGGGGTGACTTTGTGGCAAGGAAGGGGTAAGCTCGAAGCAGAGAGAGACCATGGGCTGAGATGCTTTGGTGGGGGTAATGGCCCCGCTACCTGCAGACAGCCACCTGCCGCTCTGTTCTTCCACCTTCCTCCCGCACCCAGTGTTATAGTCTTTCCATCCCCCCTCTTCCTCCTCTTTTCTCTATGTGCCCTTCTGGAGTTGCGTTGTTTCTCTTTGTCCTAGTCCGACCTCTCTATTCCACTGCATGCTCTGTCACTTAGGGTCCACATTGCTCCTCTGGGAGCATCTTCTGCCTCACATTGCCACCGCTGCATCCCAGCCTTCTGCAGAGCAGATGCCTTCACCTTTTCCAGCTCTGTAGCCTCCAAAGCAGGACTTTGTGTCCAATGGATCACAACACGGGGTGTAGTAATGTCAAGATGAACTGTGCCTAAAAGAGTTCAATGTCCTGGCCAGTTTAGCTTTTCCACAAAGGCACAGATGGCATTGACCCTGAAGGATAACCTAGAGACAAAAGGTGGTTGCCAGGGCTACTATAGGACCAACACAAGGAACATGAAGTCCTATCATTCCGGCCAGGAATAGCAGAAGAGTCCAGTGGCTTCCAGAAAGCAGACAATGATGAACAAGCACAGGAATATCCTATCAATGACCATGGCAACACACTTCCAGTCTTCCTTCACCTGCAGGCACAAGGGGACTCATGGTGACAGCGGCCAGGGCTTAGAAAGGGAAAGCGTCCTGCCCATGCACTGCCACAGAGACAAACACAGGGGCAGCAGCTATGGGCCAAGGAGACCTGGGGAGCCAAGGTCAGCCCAGGTACAGAGGTGGGCTGGGGGAAAAACAGGCTTAGCTCAGGGCTCCTCAACCTCTCCATGGTCCTGTCATATCTCACCCTCCATAGACCCCACAGGTAGCCATTGTTCTTAGGTTAAAGGTAAAGGAGGCTACAGGGATACAAGGACGTGCTAGAGAAGCCTGGGGACATGGAGCCTTCTCAGGCCTGCCATGATTTAAATGCTGTACTCCACAATTAGGAATGGTGAAGACTTTCCTGCTCATGTTGCCTTTGTGCCTACCTACAGGAGACGAAAAGGAAGACGAAGGTACAAGTTGTTGTGACCCACAGCTCACTGGAGTCAAGGTGAAGGTCTTTGTGGAGCTTGGACTCAGACCCCAGACCAGGGAGTCTGGACTCCTAGCTGTTCCCAGATGAATGACTGATTTTCTTATCTGCTCAATAAAGCCACACAGCAATCACAACTGGGCCTTTGTCCTTCCATAGATTGATAACATGAATTCCAATGCTGAACACTGGGTACACATGGGAGGAGCCAGAGAGGGGAGCCCACCTCACACAACCAAGAATCTGCAGGGCTTATGGGTAAACAGTGAAGTTCACAAAATGCCCAGAGCCCCTGGGTAAGGACAGGTGGTGACCCTCCAACACAAAGGAGGAAGATGAGGATACCCAGGCTGACATACCTGACAACTGCAGGCCGCTCTCTGCCCCACCTGCAGTGCAGATAGTGGTGAAAAACAGCTTCTCCTGTTCACTAAGGGAGGTGTATGTGTGTGGATATGGAAAGTACTGGAGATTAAATCCAGGATCCTCACATTTTTATTTTTGATTTTGATCCAGGGTCTTGCTAAGCTCCCCCAGTGGCATTTAACTCAAAATACTCTTGCCTCTGGGATTACAGCCTTGGGCTACAGGGGGCATTCTCGACGCCATCATACTCTGATGTCTGCTAAAGTGTCCCAAGATCTGCCAGTTAGATGTCCTCTCTCACAGTTGATACTAAACTCCAGAGAACAAGTCTTTGAGGGAAGGGACTGGGCTGACCCAAGCTAATGACCAGAGAAAAGATGGTTCCCTGCTAAGACACCCAGGAAGGGGCCTCACCCAGCTGCCACACACTGAAGAGCTGGTGACCTCAGATCACAGGTGCTCAGCATTATAGTGCACACCTTCCAGGCCCTTCTGGACGCAAGGTGACAGCAAGACCTCACACTTCCCTGGTATAGCCTCAGCCATGGGCCCATGAGGCCCTGGGGTGCAGGCCACCATGCCCAGAGAAGATACCCATGGAAGGGACTGGGAGGCCCATATACACCCATGTGTCCTCCTGCTCTGCCTCCTCCAACTCCTGGGGATCCACTTTGGTCTCCAGACAGTGATAAGAGGGGCTGAGCTTCAGGCCAGGGGTTCTTGGAGCTGCAGGGGTGGCAGCCATGGCCAGTTAATGAGGAGCCACCTAGACACACAGCCCAGCAGGGCCCAGCACACACACCAGGGCACGGTGTGGTGGTGGTGGTGGTGCACATTGTGCATTAAGATCAAGATGATGAGGGAGAGGGTCAGAAAGATTGAGGTGAAGAGCAGGCACTCACTGATGAGCGGGGTGACCAGTGAGGTGGTCAGGATGATCTCAGTGACGAGCAGCAGGAAGTCAGTGAGGGACAGCAGCATGCAGACGCACATAGGTATCTTCTCTCTGCATCTAGAAAGCAGGTGGAAGATGAGCATGGTGAGGCAGGAGACAATCAGGCACAGGAAATGAGGGTGACGGTATGGAAGAGCAGTAGCCAGTGGTGATGAAGCTCCAGGTGACATTGAGGTAGATCTCACTGTGGTTGTTGCCATGGAAATGATGATGGTCAGGCAGTGCTCTCCCACTAGTCCTTCAGGTCTGCTGTCTGATCTTGACCTTGTCGTAGGCCTCGGAGCTGATTTTATCTGCAGTTCTGCTGGCAGAAGGCAGGACCTCTTGCAGATGGACAGGGGCACCCAGTGCACAGTGTCTCTGGAGAAGAGGTGGGCCTTGGTTAAGAGGGTCACTTCCAATCCTCGCCTGTATGGGTGAGAAGAGACAGGCTGGGGCCCCTCTACACCCGCCAGGCCCAGAGACCAGAGGCAGGGAAACCCCAAAACACAGTGGTTTCTCAATGGCAGTGTGCATTCGTAAGTGTGAATCTTTCCCAGCAGACACACACACACACACTCACACACACACCTGGGTGTCTTTTCAAGTATCATTGTTTCCATTGCAAAAGTAGGAATTTTAAAGGTCTTAGTGGGAGGCATGGAGAATTTTTTAAATAATCACTATTAATATCTAAATGTTTTATCATATACAGGGTATGATTGAAAATACAGAAGTCATCATAGAAAGACACACTGCCATAAATTTCCTCAAAATCCTCCCCACACGCTTCATCCCATTGTAATTGCCACTTTCCGAAGCAGTTCTGGAACTTTTCTTTCTTGCTGTTGTGGCTGCTTCCATCCTGATTCAAAACATTTTCCTTTCATGGTCATTTTGACCTTGGGGAGGTGCTAGAAGTCACACAGTGCCAGATCCTGGGAATAAAGTGGACGAAGTAATACATTGTGAAATTTTTGCAAGCCTTTCTGATAGATGGCACTCACCAGCAGCATTCATCATGGTTTTGATCACACAGCACAAAGACACTCAGGAATGCAGACAGCTCCTTCACAAAGTGAAAAGAACAATGGGACAAATGAGTTCCAAGGCAGGGCAAAGATTCTGAGGGGAATTAATGGCAAATCTATCCTTTTCTATAATAAAATTTTTACAAATTTGAACATTCACTGTGTATTTTGATCACACCTCATGCGTGACTGTCATGTAGATAATTTTATAAGAGCTGTACATATTTGAGCTCCTGGGGTATATGCAGTTGGCCAGTTTTTGTTTGTTTAATAAGATTATTTCTTCTTTTCAGAGCGATTGTAGTTTCTCTTCTAACAGGTGGTGGGTCAGCCTCAGCTAGAGGAAGGTCATGTCTTTTCCTCCTGGATCATCGGTCCTTGCTAGGATGGGACCTAGCACTTTGGCTGGCGAAGTGCTCACATGTGTCATGCATTTCTGAGCCAGCCTCACTCTGTAGGCCTGAGGAATGGGAGACACCATTCTGAAGTTTGCCTTGACCAGCCCAAGATCTGGCTGAGATTTGGGAGGACAGTACAGCATCAGGGGGTCCCACAGGAACAAGGAACAGGTAGAGCAAGGGTAACACAGGGCACCTTGAGACTGGAGAGATGGATTCAATGGGGACAGTGGAGATGGAATTAAAGGCATCGGGGGACTGGACACCTGGACTCTGGGGACACTGGAAAAATGGTGACAGGAAGCTGAGTCCCTTTTCATCCCTTCCCCTTCAGTTTCAGTGGTCAATTCTAAAGCCTAGGAATCAGAATACAAGGAAGAGAGACATTTTTTAAAAAGAGTAATAAACACATCAATCAAAAGTTTAAATGGAACCAGGTGTGATGGTGAAGACCAGTAATCGCAGTACTCTTGGAGGCTGAGGCAGCAGGATAACATGAATGAGCACAGCCAGGGAAACTGAGGGCCTTTGTGATAGCCTGTCTCAAAATAAAGAGAGGATAAGGTTATCATTCAGTGTGAAGGCCCTGGCTTCAATCCCCAGTACCAAAACAGTAAGTAAATTAACTGAATTTTAAGGAGTGTTGGTCATCTCACTTCCACTAGGTGGTGACAAGCTCCCATCCTGGAGGAGAAACCAAGCAACTTCATTGACTTAACTAGGAGGGGGAACTCTTCTTTAATTCAATGTCTGCAAGTGTTTGGGCTTGAGAAGAATTTCTTGTGATAACCAAGTAGTCCTAGCCAAAGCCTTACCAGCAATCCTGAAACTCCCAAGTCATATTTGATGCCAGGACTTTGCTCCTGACCTCCACCAGAGGCACAGGATCCTTGGCACCAGCTCCTGGGCACAGGAATAGGATGGGGCTCGAGTCCTGCAGCAGCCATGGACACCAGGTACCTGCCGCCCTGTTAGGCCTGCAAGATAACCCTGTAGTGAGGGGTGCAGCTTGGGTGGGGGCACTGGGCCTGCCCAGAGCTGGACAGTGTGAGGAAACCTTGTTGCTTCCCTCTGACCTATCTGGAGACACACAATACTGAAGTGAGCCTCCCCACCTTTATTTATCATTCAAAAACAGCATTTCCTAAGTTGGGACCAATGGCCAGGGGCTGGGCCAGCTGGAGGCTGGTGTCTTTACTGAGGACTCTATTGTGCTCAGGTGTCTTCCCATGGCCTGGGGTGGAGGGAGCTCAGTGGACACCACTGTTATCCAAAATCATGTGGCTGCAGCACCTCATAGCTATTTGTATCTCAAGGAAGCAGTGGTTTCCTCAAGGCCCTGCTTTTAAAAAAGTGTTTAGCTTGACTTCTCATGAAAAAAAATTACCTGACAGTGCAAATGAAGTATAGATTTCCATTTCTTTGATCAAAAATTAACTCAGTAATTTTTGCCCACTGGGATTCTCTTCAGCCTCCCCACTGCCTTCTGTGAGCTCCTAGTTCCTTTGGTCAGACTGGTCCTTCTTGGTTGTGCATGAGGAAGCTATGAATAGCATGATGAAACACAAGTCACACCAAGTGAGTTTGTCCCCTTCAAAGTCACTGCCCTGGGAAGCCTCTTACAGTTCTGACAACATTGCCATCATCACAACGCCAGCCCTTGAGCCTGCACTGTGTTTCCCAATGACCCCTCAGGACCTGCAAGTCTGTCCACCGGCACAAGGCCGGGCACTGAAAGGCAGTGGGTGCTCATTAAATGCTAGTGTATAGGAGTGAAAAATAAAGGAATAAGCCAAGGAGGTGAGAGGGAGGCAGGGCCACCCCACCCAAGCCTCTGTCACTACCCCACTGGGAGGTACCCCTGAATCCCCTCAAGACTCCCACTGCTTCCTACTTGTTGTAGAGGATAATTTCTGGGATCCAGATCAACTCAGAAGGGACCCAGAGGGAGGTAATGTCAGGGTTCTGGGTCAGCTTCCACTTCTGTGGTGGGGAAGGGGTCTCATCACCACACTGCCAGGGGCTATGATGCCAGAACAGGGCTATGCCTGGGAATCCAGAAACCCCTATCAGGTACCCAAGGAACCTTCCTTGTTCCAGCCCCCTGCCTGCAAGTCTGTAAAGAGGAGCCTGAGACCCCTTAGAAGCCTGGGGGTGAATGGTGTCAAAGAGATCTGCCCAAAGCCTCCATTGCAAGCATGAAACTTGGAACTGAGTTCCAGGCATGCACACAGGGCAGACATTCTGGTCCTGTGGTTTTCTGCATATTCACCTCTGCCATAGGGACAGGCAGATACCAGTGGGCTGGAGGAAAATGCTGTGTGCCAGGGTCTGGGTCCTCTTTCATTTACTCTCCAGCCTCCTCTGTGTTGGGGATTGGGGAGTGGCTGGGAAGAGCCTGAGGAATAGGATGGGATCTAATTAGGGCCTGTCCTTGAGTCTGTGCCAGGAGTGGCAAATCAGAGGGCCATACAGTCTTTGGCTATGCTCCTCACCTGGATCCAGCTGGATTCCTTTGGATCAGTGGAGTACAGCAGAACTGATGCTGGGCTAGTGTCCAAAAGTAAGAGAACCGCAGCAGCTTCTACTTCGTGCCTCTTGGAACTGTCACCTTGGAAGCCCTGAGCCACCAAGTGAGAATCCAGCTCCCCTGCTGGAGAAAGACCTTCCAAGTGCCTGACAGGGTGAGGATCCCTGTCAGGCCCAGCCTTCCAGAACCTTCTAGAGCCTTCCGGAACCTCCCATATCCCCCTGCCAAAGTACATACATGTAACAGAAGCAGCCTTGGACCTCCCAGAACAGATCCAGCCACCAGCCAGATGCCAAGCACTCTAGCCACAAAGGAGCACAGCTCTCAGGAGCTGTCTGCTGCCAGTTGGCCCTGGCCATCCTAAGCAGCCACTGTTCGTGAACCATGAATTCTGGATCTAGCTTCTCCTTGGGCCCTCACTAGCAGAAATTCCTACAGGGGCTGGGGTCAATGGGTTCTGTCCCTTCCTTCAGGGAAGGGCCTTACCTGCTTTAGCCAGATGTTGGTGGTCATCATCTGGTTCTTTACCAGTAGTATGGAGAGAGAAAGCACAATTAGACTGGCAAACCAGCCTGGAAAACAGGAAAAAGGAAGGCGGCCCACCTCTCCTGAAACTGCCTCAGGCACTCAGATTCCCTAGGGCCACACAATCCCCTGCTGCTGCCCAACAGTGTTCTTGGGAGGGTCTCCTGGGCTGGGCTAAGGCAAGGGAGAGAGGACAGGAGGAGGGCTGAGGGTCTGTGACTGAGGTGGGCTGGGATGGACAAGGCCAACAGACCCTGGGGAAGGGGCTGGTGGGCCAGGGGCCAATTCCAGGGAGCCCAGCGTGGAAGGACAGGGGCACAATGTCACAAGCTGGGTGGTGGACAGTTTGAAGCAGTCACCACATCCCAGGTGTGGGGCACTGGCCATACCCATGTTTGAAGAGGCAATCTTTGGCCTGGGTGTGGGGGCTTCAGGGCTGTGGGATGGGGAGAAAAGAGGAGGGGTCCACAGGAGGCCAAGGAAATGGTCTGGTCATGTGGCTTTCTGTCCACCTTTTTTCAGAGCCAAGGTACCCAAGACACTGAGCCTCCATTGGGTCTTCAGGCAAATGGAGGTGAGAATCCAACTCTGCTCCCACTCTGGCATAGACTTAATATGATGGTGGTGATGTCTATCAGAGCCATCCCATCATTGTTCACTAAATGTCAGCACCTAGGTAAGATTAGACAGGAGGTGGGGACTGTTGTGGTAGAGAAGCAGCAGGGAGTGGGGAGACCAAAGGAACCTCAAGGGGCACAGGTACATGGGGGAGATGGCTGGTCTATGTAGGGTGAGGTGCAGGATGAGTGCTTCATCCACTGAAGAGATCCTGGCTGGACCTGGGTGGAGAGTGGCCATCATCCCCACCCACAAGGCAGATGAAAGCCACCTACTGGCACTTGCCACTTCCTGTCAGGTAGGCAGAGAACTGTAAAATTGTGCTCCAAGAGGTTTTCACTGGGTTCTGCAAACAGCATCCCCACTCCAGGGCTCTGCTGTCCCAGCAAGTGGAGAACTCCAGCTCCAAAATCCAGAAGACAGCGGGCACCACAGTGACGACACCTACCATGTGTATGTCCTGAGTGATAGTCCAGCATCATTCAGTCCTGGAGAGGCCGATTGTACCACCTGCACTTTGCAGATGAAGAACACCGATGCTGGAAACATTTAAAGTACTGCTAAAGCCAGAAATCCTCGGCCTTCTCCCTTGAGTGCAATGGGTGGCCTGCAGGAGCATCCTCACAGTCTGGGGGTGCACAGGTGTGACAAAGTCCTAGTGAGGATACTCACCTGCTGGCATCAGTAGGAACCACCACAAGCTGAGCTTTGTCAAGGACAGGAATGCAGGACTGGAGAGGCCCTGGCTTCTCCTGCCCATCAGAAGCAGAGCAGGCCCAGGCTTGCTGTGGACTGAATCCTGATGCTGTTGGGGGCTCCCAGGTTGCTGGTGTGGCAGAGTTGCTGGACAGAGGAGGCCTGACAGAGGCTCTGGACTCGGTACATCATCGCACGATGGAGATAATCACGCTGTACAGGGCAGTCAACAAAAGAACACAGGTATGACTCATAACAGCTGATAGACAGAGGAACACATGCAGCTACCCAGACAATGCAAGATGCTTCAACCACCAAAGGAAAGCAGGACCAACATATGTTACTACACACATGCAGACTTAAGACATTAAGTAAGGTCAGCAGCAAAAGGCCACTTATCATATGGGTCTGGGCTTGCCAGACGTTCAGAACAGGCAAATCTACAGAAACAGAAGCAGATTAGGGGCAGGGACTGGGAGGAACGGGGCATGACTGCTTTGTGATTGCTGAGTCTCCTTCTGGGGCAATGAAGAAGCTCTGAAACTACACAGCAGCGATCTTTGCACAATTCTGTGAATACCCTGAAATGCACCAAATTGTATTTGGGGAGATCTTGGGGAATTGATCCCCCTCCATATTTTATTGTTTATTTTGAGGCAATGTCTTGCTAAGTTGTCCAGTTTAGACTAAAACTTGTGATCTTCCTGCTTCAGCCTCCCAGAGTGCTGGAGTAACAGGTGTGCACCGCCACGCCCTGCTTCCTCACTATACATCTTTAAAGGGTCAATTTTATGGTGAATTATAGTCCACAAAGTTGTTTGAAAAATGAACACCATCTGTCCATACCTGTATTCTTCTGCTGAGTGCCCCATAACAAGTGACCAACCCTCCTTAGACTGTGGGGAGGTGACACAGGCAGAAGCCAGCAAGCTGCCGTAGGAAGATGTCAAGGGTGGATGAACTGTCTCAACATCCCTGCTGGGGGAAACAGCATTTTTAAGATTACACATTATTTACTCTACTATCTGATTTAAAATGTGTCACTACAATAACATTAAGCATTACCTTTAAAAGCATTGCCATTCAAATTAGCCTCCTTTAAAAAAAGAAATCTCTCTCTTTAGGAGTCTAGGGTGTCATCTGTGTGGGTGCACTTTGTGCACACGGTCCAGAGACAGGACACAGGCTCTTGGTACAGACCCCAGCCCAGGATTTCCTTCTGAGATGATGAGCATGTTCTGCAGCCAGGTAGTGTGGTGGCTGAACAATGTTTTGAATGCACTAATTAGATGCCACTAATGGTAAACTTTATCTATATTTTAACTACAACTTCTAAAAATGAATGAGTAAGAGAATGCTTTAGAAATATAAGCCAGCCCAGGAATCCCAGAACTTGGGGAGACTGAGATTACCAACCTGAGTCACTTAGTTACTTAGCCAGCCACTGTCTCAAAAATTTAAAATATTATTTTAAAAGAATTAAGGATCTAGCTCAGTGTGGTGGCCCTGGGTTGGATCCCCAGTACTAGGGGGAAAAAACCATCACACACAAGGGGGAATCAGAATTTGGAGTCCACCTGGCAATTCTCATCCCCCACCATGTCCCTGCATCTCACCAGCCCCCCCCCAACCTCTCACCTGCCCTCTTGGTGGAAGAGAACTGGCCTGGCCAAGTAGCTCAGCCCTGCTGATATTTTGTCCTTTCCGTGAATAGGGGATCGCACACCTTACCCTGCTCACTTCCTGGGACTGGCACAGGGGACATGATTCCCAGAGGGTTTCAATTCAAAGACTCAGAAACAGATTTATATTTACCTCTGTTCCCTTGGGAGAATACTGCCTCTGACCAGCAGCCGCCCTTGCCTTTTGCCATACCACACCCTGCCCTAGGGTTCCCCACTTTGTCCTAGCTGAGAGGTGCCTCATTCCTTCCTGGCCCCCAAAACATCTCAAAACAGGGCTGTGCTTGAAAATTCTCCCAGAACAGACCCCCACGGGGAAAGGACAGAGGGACTAGCAGGGGCTGCTCCTGTCCACATACCGATGCTGAAGCTCCCCCCGGAGGGCAGCTTTACCTGGGAATCATCCATTTGCTTTGCTCAGTGCACACCCAGCCTGGGCCTCAGCAGCTTCTGTGGCCCCGCTGAGTGGAAGCAGCTGGGTCTGAGGTCCCTGGCTCCCTAGGGGGTTTTTCCAAGCTGCTTCTCTGCAAAGGAAACAGCACAGCCAACTTAATCTCGGGAGAGCTGTTGGTGCCATCTTGCTCCTTTTCTTCCCAGTGTACAGGTAGGTCACCTGTTTTCTCTGGGTGCATGAATTACAGGCAATTTCTACTTCTTTTTGACCTTTTTCCTACATTTTCCAAATTTCTTGCCATAAACATCCATTAGTGACCTAGTACAATGCAGTGCTTTTATGCACGTGGTGACTCCTGCTGTGTGATTCATATGGCCTCCCCAATCTCTCGCAGGATTGAATTCCCTGGAAATTCAGACTTTAGATTCTAGCAAAGTGAAGTGCAAGTAGTCAAGGCCAACCCTATGATGGAGCAAGCAGCCTGTGTCCATCAACAGATGAGCAGAAAAGCAAAATGTGGTCCAGGCACACAGTGGAAGATTATCCAAGCCTATAAAAGGAAATTCTAGCACACACTACAATATGGGTGAAGTTTGAAAACACTCCTAGGCAAAATAAGACAAACACCAAAGGACAAATACTGCACAGTACTTATGGGAGGTACCTGGAGTCATCAAATCCACAGAAATAGAGGGTTGCATGGATGTTGCTGGGGGCTGGGGGAATGTGCAGAGCTGCAGTTCAGGGAGACAAAGAGGCTCTGCAGATAGACAGTGGTCACTCCATTAGTCATGTTCCCATGCTGGACACAATACCCAACACGCACAACTTAAAGAAGCCTAAGGCCGGGGATTTAGCTCAGCGGTGCTGCCGGCTGCCTCAAAAGCGCAAGGTCCTGAGTTCAATCCCCAGTACCAAAAAAAAGAAGTCTCATGTTTTAGGAGGATTCATTCAGTCCATAGTCAGCTGGCTGCAAAGAAGAACAGCATGGTGGAAGGGTGTGGGCAGAGGGGAGCTGCTCTTATCATGGTGGTCAAGAAGCAGAGACAAGGAGGAAGATATACCCCTCACCGGCCCACTGACCTCCTCTCTCCAACAGGCCCCAACTCCTAAGAGCACATTAGTGATAAATTCATCAGTGGCTTAATCCACTCCTGAGTATAGCACTGCCATGATCCCATCACCTTCCAAAAGCCCCACATCTGAACACATGAAACTTTGGGGAGACATCCTAGATCTAAAGCATCATAGCTGAGCAACCATGCATCCTCACTGCCACCCAGCAGCACAATGGCTGGATTGGTAACCTTTGTTAAGTGTGTTTTACCCCAGTTGTGGAGGCAAAGTCAGCTGTGTTTAGCTGGAGTCATGTTAGAGCTGAGACACCTGAAGCCCTGAGATAGCTGGAGGATTCAGTGGGGTGATGTTCATCAGACCCAGCTCACAAGGCAGGCCCATCACTTCCTTGCTGGGATGATGGAGGTCAGATCTGGTGAAGAAGATTCTTGCATCAGCTGGTCTGAGAGTCCATGTGACCCTTATGATTCCATCCAAGCTTGAGAGGTTAAGTAAGTGTCTATGATGATCAGGTCATCAAGAAGAGCAGATATGAAAGCCAGAAGTGCACTCTATCCCAGAAGCACCTCTGGTGAGCAGCATTTACAAGAAACAGTACAAGGGATTTCCTTCAGGATATGGTATTGATGATTGTGGAAAAGCTGGGTAGACATTGAAGCTTGGAGGATCAGGAGCACTCCCCAAGAGGGGAGGAGTTTTTCAGGAGTTTGAAGGGTGCCCTTGAACCCCCGTCATGGAGCCCTGGCCTGGCCATTATACTAGGAAAGGAGGAGTAAGTAGCCCCTGTACCAACAAGGAATGAAATGGACTTATTCTCGCTGTGGAGACCTACCGTGAGCTTACCTGTTTGGATGGCGTTGGGGCCTGGTGGCCTGGTCTTCTTCAATCTAAAGAGCTGCTCCTAGTAGTTCTGTGGCAAAGTGATCAGAAGATGGCCCCAGGCTCTGTGTGGCTCCAGGATGGTCCATCTTAGTGACCAAAAACACAGAGGGGGATGGGATTTTTGTGGCCATGGGTTAGTGTCCAGTTTTTTAATAGCTAAAGCAAGGTCGAGAGGGTTCCTTTTGTGTGTGGGGGGGTGTGCCTGGGCTTGAACTTGGGTCCTTGTGAGGCAGGTGGCAGAACCACTGAGCTAAATCCCCAGCCCCCAGAGGGTTCATTTTTAGAAGAGGCATCAGTGGGGGCTGCCTGTTTGATAGGTGCCACATTATCAGCCTTAAGTCTGCTCCTCTCTCCCTGAAACACCTTGAAGGCAGCCAGCATAAGGTCTCTCATGAGGATCGGGGGCCTAACCTCAAAATGTTTAAGTTTGACTTGGGTATCAGAGGCTTTTTGAGAGATGAAGTAGGTTTTAAGAAAAAGCTGGTCCTCTCCACACCAAGGATCTAGTCTTGTGTGGGCTTTAAGGGCCTCTGTAATTTTGTGTCATGAACTGGGCCATTTTCTTATTGGACCCTTGATGGATTTTTACTTGAGACCTGCTCAATTGAGGCCCATTTTAATATAACCTATAAAGTAGTCTCCAGTCTCCATGGTTAGGGTCATTAACCCAGTATAGATCATGTCTGGGAATTTTCCTCACCCTCGCCTGCCTTGAAAGTGCAAGGTCCTGAGTTTGATCCCTGGTACCAAAAGAAAAATATATTTATTTTTTTTTTCAGCAGGCTTACCTTACTAACCTTATAAATAAGCAGGTGCAATCCCCTCTCCCTCACATGGACATCAGCAAGCTTACCTTGATATACTTGTAGATAAACAGGTGCAATCCCATCTCCTGAACAAAGACATCAGTAGGCTTACCTTAGTATCCTTGTAGATAAAACAGATCCATTGCCCTATCTTGCATGAGAACATCAGCAGGCTCACCTTTGAATCCTTGTAGATACACAGTTTCATTACCCTATCCTACCCAAGGACATCAGCAGGCTTACTTCAGTATCCTTATAGAGAAGTAGGTGCAATCCCCTCTCCTGCACAAGGACATCAGTAGGATTACCTTAGGATCTCTGTAGATAAACAGGTCCATTGTCCCTTCCTGCATGAGGATATTAGTAGGTTTACCTTAGTATCCTTGTAGATAAACAGGTGCAATCTCCTCTCCTGCACAAAGACATTGCAGGCTTAACTTAGTATCCTTATTGATAAGCAGGTACAATCCCTTTCCTGCACAAGGACATCAGCTGGCTGACCTTACTATCCTTGTAGATAAACAAGTGCCAGCCCTCTCACACACAAGGACATCAACAGGCTTACCTCAGTGTCCTTATAAACATGTGCAATCCCCTCTCCCTTATGAAGACATCAGCAGGCTCACCTCAGTATCTTTGTCATAAACAGGTGCAATCTCCTTTCCTGCACAAGGACATTAGCAGGCTGACCTTTGTATCCTTGTAGATAAACAAGTGTAATCCTCTCTCTCTCACAAGGACATCAGCAGATTTACCTTAGTATGCTTGTAGATAAAACAGGTGTGATCCTCTATCCTGCATGAGGACATCAGCAGGCTCACCTTAGTATACTTGTTAGTATACTTGTTAGTTAGTATCTTGTTATACTAGATAAGCAGGTGCAATTCCCTGCCCTACATGAGGACATCTGCAGACTGACACTAGAATCCATGTAGATGAACAGGTCCTTGTCCTGCATAAAGACATCAACACACTTACCTTATTATCCTGTGGATGAACAGATGCACTGGGAAAGAGGAGCATAGTTGTTATGCCCACTCTGGGCACACCTCAGTCCAGGAAGCTTCACACAGACAGCTACCTGGAATCTCTAGGTGAGGGCATCATTAGGGCTTGGAGAAGGGGCTGCTGATGGTAAAGATCTTATGGCAAGGAATTTAGGACAGGAGACTGAGACCATCTGAATAATGTTTAATAGTTAACACCAAGGTGCTTGTGTGGAAAGGTAAAACTAAATGTGTGAGACCAGGCATGAAACCAAGCAAGGCAACACAAGTCCACTGAGGTTAAAGAAGACCGGTGAAGTTGGGCCAAATGATGAAGAACATGCAGCTGAGGGCACAGTGCTAAGGGCAGGGTTCTATGCTAAGGATAGGTAGAGTTTTGAGGCAGGGAGATTCGGCTAGCTTTGCTAAGCACAGACTACATAAGGCAAGGCTTCAAAGTGAGTAAAGTTAGAGGAGATAAATAAGGCCAAACCTAAATCCTGCTATGCAAAAGTACATGCATAAGGCAAATGATGTGGGGCTGTAGGGGTAGCAGCTCCAAAAGTGAGGGTACTAGGGGCAATAACAATACAGACAGATATAATAACAACATAGACAGAGTCTACAATGCCAAGAATAAAATGGTAAAGGGCCAAGGGTCAAATAAGGCCAAGTGGGGGTTAGACACTGAACAAATCTAGGTGTGTAAAGTCTGGTTAGCAAGACCAAGTGGCATGGCAAAACCACAGGACCATGTGGCTAATGTCTGGGTATAGCTGGATGGCTAACATAGGCAGCCTGAGACAGGGAGCATAGGACAGGACCCTCTGTGCAGTGTCTCTGGTAGGAAGTGCACCCCGTGGGTGAATGGCTCAAAGTAAGGGAAAGGGATTTGGTCAAGCTGCTAAGTACAGATTATTGACAGTGTGAGGACAGCAAGATTTAAATTAGCTCCAGATGGAGGAGAACTGGGTTTAGCCAAGTGTGTAAAGCCAGGAGGGTCCAGACAGAAGCTGGGAGCAAAGCTTAAACCGTGGGTGGGGTAGGCAGGTGGGTTAGACTGGTAGGCTACAGGCAGAATTCAGTCAGTGGATGAGGCCAGGGAAGTATGGAAGGTTTGGAAACTGAAGAGGAAGGCCTGAACTTTAGCTTGGGTGAGAAACATCAAAATTTACTAAGTCCAGGGCCGGGGATTTAGCTCAGTGGTTCCGCCACCTGTCTTGCAAGCAGAAGGAACCAAGTTCGATCCCCGGTACCAAAAAAAAAAAAAAAAATTTACTAAGTCCAGGTAGGTAAGTTAGATGTACGGCACCTGGAGGTAAAGTCCTATGAACTATGGCAGGAGACTGAGAACTAGATATCAATATATGGACAAGGATGAACAGGCAGAACACATAGGGCAGGAGTACTAAAAGGCACTGCACCAAAGGGCCCAGAGTTATAGTCAGTTTAGAGTAGAAAGGGTTGGGAAGGAAGGCATAAATCTAGGTATACGAAGACAGGGGGAAAGGACAGTGCTGTGGTGGGGTAATGGATGTTGGAAAGCCATTAAACATTGATGAAGGCAAGAGTTTAACTGGACAGGTAAAGGCGGGATCTCAGGAAGACCTAAAGGGGAATGCTAGAGGCTAAGGTGAAATGGGAAGTCAGGTGGAAAAGTGACGTAGGTACAGCATGTGCTGCGCTAAGGCCTAGGGGCACAGGGGTACACGGCGAGGTAGCTAGAAAAGAGGCACTGAGGAGCAGGAGGATTGAAACTTGGGTGTCAGTCAGGCCTTGAAATGCATTGGTTTGGCTAATATTTGGAGAAGACAAGCAAGTAAGGAGAAAAAAGAATTCTGCTGGGTCATAGCATAAAGCCAAGTGTCAAAAAAGTTGGTTGGAAAATTATTATAAGTGCAAGGGGCACAAATGGACACAGGAAAATGGCCAAGTAGGTGTCTCATAAAATGTTGTTAACCATGAATGTTATAGAGTATGCTTTGTTCCGGCCAAGCAAGTCAGGAGATCACTGAGGTCTGGTTGAGAAGGCCACAGGCCAGGGCAGGTGGTAGGCCATGGGGTCTTTGGGTAGGGGTGTAAAGGCACGAGGCACCCTGAGCACGCACAGGGGCACTACAGTTGGGGGCTCTACAGGGCAGTGGTACTGGGACAAAGTGATTGGGTGAACACACTAAGCACAGATAAGTCAGGCCAGGATGCCACATGCCCAGTTTAAAGTCAGGAGAGAAATAAGGGCAAGCACTGAATGCCAGGTAGGAGAGCCAAAGACCATAACCAGGTGTGGAAGGAGGCTGAGGTCCACGGGGATGAGGACTGTGGACTGGGACACTAGGGGCGGGGGTGCAAGGGGACAGGCACCAGCAGTGGGACAAATGTGGCACAGATTTCAGGCAAGGCAGGTAAGCATGGAATAGTCAGGCCAAGACTTGACTGAAGAAGGATGGAGTTACATCAGGCCTGGTGACCAAGGCCAGGGGCCAAGGCCAGAGCACAAAGCCAGGGTAAACAATGAGGTGGGGATGGCACAGGGCCAAGGGCTCAGGATGCTAAGGGCACAGGCATGAGGGCCACAGGGTGTTGGGAGCAGGCCACTAGGGTAGGAGGGTTGGAACAGGAGCAAGTGGCAGGGGCTTGGCCAGGTTGTTACACCCAATTGCTTGAGCCATCACTTGAAACTGGGTGAGGGAGGACAGGAGCCAAGCGAGGCCTGCTGGGGCCCACCAGGTGTGAGGGCAAACAAAGCCTAAAGCCTCTTGTGTAAAGTGAAGTGGGCAAGGGCAGGGTTTGGAGGGTTCCTAGCCAGAGGTTCAGGGCACCGGAGACAGGGGACATAGGAGTGGGCCCGGGACCTACAGCCTAAGGACAAGCATGGATTACACAGGTCAAAAGTTAACTGGATGAGTCAAGTCAGGACCTGAAAAAGGTCTGATGGGTAAGGACATGGGGTAAGGCCATAGTATAAAGCCACTGGTGATGCAAGGCTGGTAAGCCAGTATCTGAGGAATGGGGACAGTCACAGCAGGGGCCAGTCCACCCAGGGCACAGTTAGGGTACAGGGCACTAGGGCATGGTGCTATGGGAACATGTGGTGTGGAACAGGGGCTATAAGGCAGGCAATTAAGCACTGAGTATTCAGACCAAGCCTTTGTATAGGAGGAGGTAAAGAAAGCCTGTTGCATAAGAGCAAGTGGCAAATGCAATGCTAGAAGCCACATATTAAAGATAGGTAGGTAGGTAAGCCATGAGCTGTGAGAACATGAGGAGCTATAGGGACCGCTCTTGGTACCACCA